AAACGTGTCGATACATTTTCTGTTTATAAATACAATTTGGCGCGTTCACAACCAAACGACACAGGAACTGTATCGGTCACGTGGTTTTCCTTAAAGAGATACGCGCACCGACACGGGGCTTCGCCTTGTTTGCTCGGCGCATGCGCCGAGGTTTCAGTGTCGTCAGACCCATCACTACCAGGAGTTGCCCTCACTGTGCTTCCTGCTGGCTGTATCACAGACTGAAGCTAGTGTGATGTCACCATGGAGGTAGTGATGGAAGAGGGATGCTGCTGCTGAACCAACAAACCAAACAAGAGGACGGTATTAAAAGTAACTGATTGTCTTTTGTTCCAGCTTGAGGAGGAGCTGAGCGGTATCGTGGAGGTCGTCGGTATGGTGTCCAACAGAGGAGCCATCATGGCCGCCACATACAACACGCTGCGAGAGGACAAGGGCGTCCCCTTTGGTACGGTCCATCTCAGTGAGGCGTAACCCGCGGTAACACAGCAGCACTGATCGCCTGTGACTGACGTACGCTGTGTCTGTCCCACAGATTTAGAGCTGTACAACGAAGCTGTGAAGCTCATCCATGACTTCCCTCAGCACTACCCCTTTGAAGTGGCTGCGAGTGGATGAAGCTCCCAGAACAAGACTGTGTTCATTGTTTGTTTTTTGGTTGATTCTGGCGTGTTACGTTTTTCTGAATAAAAGTTATTTGCAATAAAATATAAATGTATGAATATGAACACAGTGGGGTTTTTTTTGCCTTGAATAATTTCAGTTAAACCAGGGGTGTCCAGTCCTGGTCCTGGAGGGCCACAGTCCTGCATGTTTTAGATTTTTCCTTTTTCCAACACACCTGATTCAAATGATCAGCTCATCATCAAGCTCTGCAGAAGCCTGATAACGATCCTGATCATTTGAATCAGGTGTGATGGAAGAAGGAAACATATAGAACATGCAGGACTGTGGCTCTGGAGGACCAGGACTGGACACCCCTGAGTTAAACAAACAATGTTGTGAAAGAAGCGCAGCACACACTCCTGTATGTGAAACAATACGACTAAAAACTGCAAATCCTAGAACTTTGAGGTGACCAGACAGTGTTTTGGTCACTTCGTTCTCCTCCACCTGGCAGTATTCAGAGACCACTTCCTGTATGGATATGCCAGTAGTTCAGCTGGTTTACCCACATAGGGCCTGTTGGTCCCCTCAGTGGCTGGATGGATCAACCAATGGTAGATTTTCTGCTGGTCCATCTCCCTCTCTTCTCTCCCACCTTCCTGGTCTCTCTTCAACTGCATAAGAGCTCAAATGGCCCAAAATAATCTTTAAACACTACACAGTTGTCTGTCTCTCTGTGATGGACCTGTGATCACCCTCCTGGTCTTCTCCCTCCAGTAGCTAACTCCTCGGTAGCCACAGAAGTTTACTGCTGTAAACACAAACCGGACAGCAGGGGGCAGCAGCAGCAGCATTACTGGACAGCAGGGGGCAGCATGGGCAGATAAACTGCCTCTGACAGACAGTCCTTCAGACCCTTTACTGCCTCACATTCATTTTCCTGTACAGACTTAAAGCCTGCTGGTGTCTACTATCCAGAGAAAAGCAGGTTTTACCTCCTAGGAGCTCTAAATGACCACAGTAATATTAAATGTAATTCTACGCTGATGGTTTCCAGGACACGAGCCTGAACGGGGTTTTCAATCTGGAAAGCTGCTGTCACATCGAGGGCCTCGTTCCTGTAACAGCACATTCAGTTTGTTTTTCCTCAAATAAAACACTAAGGCAAGTTTTCTGGTAAACAAACAATCGTGTTGTCTGTGACTGAAACGTAACAGGGCTCCTGAACTGGTCTGAACATGATGGAGATGGTGAACCTAGTCTTTAATTAGCATAATCTAGCAATCTTAATTCTTTTCTTTGTAACCATCCAAACAGGAAACCTGCCGTTTGATGATCCGTGTGTTGGATAGCGTGTTGTATTGCCGCCTGCATGCGTGTGTTTCTCCTGCCACATGTTGCTCGGTGACGCTGTCTGAACCAGGATCACAGCGTTTCATCCTGGTTGTAGCCATCTGCATACACGGGATCTGCTGCTGCCTCGGTACTGTCCCTCTTTAAACTGGGCCACCATTTACTTTGTATTAACAAGGCTGGTGGATTGCAGGAGACAGATTATGAAGACACTGAGGTGTCCTGGTGGCTCCACCAACTCCACAGTGTCCTCATCAGTGTCTGGCTGTGGACCTGTGTTGTACCTCACATGTTTCTTTATGGAAGTTAGTGAAGTTGTGACAGGAATCCCTCCTCTGCACGGCATTCTAAATGTTTGGTCCAACCAGCAGTCCAAAACCAAACAAGTTTAGCTTCCTATTACATATTATATATAGTGTACATGACAGGGGCAAAATATTAGGAACACTTTTAAATGTAATGCAGCCCAGCACACCAGCACCACTGCCGATGGCCTTCATATGTAATATACATCACATGTAATTCTTACCTTTTTGGCAACAAAAACAGAAAATGTAAAAGACGGAGCCGCTTAGTTGGGTTGCATTAGATTTCACAGGTGAGCCCCATGAAGTGAACGTATACTAACCAGCTGTCTCATTCACATGTGGTGGAATAAAAAGCACAATATTTTTCCCTGGAAGAAAAAAAAAATGGATAAGCAAAACATTTAAAGATTGTTTAAATACTTCCATTATATTTGATCCACCACTGACAACAGAAAGTGAACATTTATTAAGACTGAAGTATTTTCTAACATGTTCAGATAGATTTTTATACAGTTTGAAGAATCTGACTTGAAGTTTTTCCGCCAGTTGTTGAGTTTTTTTGTTGAAATATTAGCTTTAAGTACATACAACAGCCACTTTACAGCCTGTATGAGCTCAGTAACCTACAGTCATCCATTTGTTTTAATTGCATATTGTAATAAATCTGTGCTCCATTTGTTCCCCTGGATTTAAATTTGTACGTTTCCTTGCTCAGCAGAGTGATAAATGCCAACCACGTCAGCACAGTGACATAAAACGTGATCAAGGGAAGCGATTGCTGTAAAGTAGAGCTTTATGGTAAACCAATGTATGGTTGCGTATATCATTACTAAAGAGTTGGGGTGATAATGTCAACCGCCGTAAAAGAGCTAAGTGTGTCTCTGCTGCGTTCGTCGTGCCGGGTGGAGGCAGAGTCGCCTGGAGGAAGGCAGCTGCCGTGTTCCAGCAAGTCGGGACACTGCTGCTGGTGTTGCAGCATCTGCTCCATCTGCTCCATCCACGGACGCTATCGCTTCCATCTCCCACACTCTGTCAGGGATATGTCTTCATTCGCTGTCACTGCTTCGCCCTGTCAGACCTTCCACACACTCATTCATTCTTTTGCTGTTTGGGTTACCTTGGCTAAGAAAAGAAAAGCATTTTATGATTTTATTAATATCTGAGCCTGTGGTCTGTGTTTTCCTGAACTCTGGTCATATCCTTTTCATCTTTCATTTTCTTTCAAAGAACATTTGATGGCTTTGATTTTTCATCAACAAAAATCTTATTGACAAATATGAATTGAACACCAGCCAACCAATAGCACGTACACCAATCAGCCACAACATTAAAACCTCCTTCATAGTACTGTGTAGGTCCTCCTCATAGCATGGGAAGAGTTCTGACCCATCGGATTGACTTGGGAGCTCTGGGGGGTGGCACCAGGTACTTTGGGTGTGTGGCCTTTGGGTGTCAGGCCTGGATGTTCAGTCAGATTAAGAGTTTGGCTTCTGGATCAACGTTTAGGATCTTTACTGTGTTCCTTGAGCCATGACTGAGCAATGTTTTAGCCCAGTTCTGCTGGAAGAGGCTGCTGTTGTTGTGGCGTGCCATCACCGTGTCGGCTGTGTTTGGTCTGCAACGGCGTCAAGGTGATTGATAAGACTCAAAGCAAATATCATCCAGAGTTTCCCAGCAGAGTTTTGCATTATAGAGCTGCCAACAACCATTTGGACTCATTGAACTTGAACTTGGATATTTTACAAAGTTGTTGTTGTGTGGTGGTGTTACTCCAGCATTTCATACATGACGATGCTAACAGGGAGTCCGTCACAGGCTGTACCATCAGTTATAAACTTGTTATAGCAGAAAAAGCACCTGGAGCAGCAACAACACAAGTCTGGTCAACGATGGCTTCATTACATCCAATGACAGTGAGAGACCCCGCACCTTTCACCTGAATGAAATCCAGTTATTTACACCTGCACCTTTCTGCTACGACAAGCCACCACGTCTGCTGTAACCAGGTCTGTTCCCAGCATCCAGAGGTGCTGTCTGTTAGCAAACAGGAGGGTTCGTCATTTGATCCTCTACTGTTGTAAAATGTGTAATTAGTCCTGCTTTAAGCTGATGTTCATCACTGTAAAAGCTGAAATGCTGGATGTTAGTTCTTTTTGAGTTATAAACACAACAGTGACGGGATATTATGTGTTATATATGTGTTAGCACGGGACATTTACAGTAACTTAGAGTTGTTCGTTGTAATATTTACTCTTCTTTTAGCTCCAGTTTAGTCTCCATCACTTCCTCAAGAAAATATTTGGCACTAAATGCTCCACTGTGTTTACCGTTTAGTCCATAACTTTGTCTCTCACTTTTAGTTGGAGGCCAAACTGTGGATTTATCAAAGAAAATGCAGAATGTGGTAATAATCTAGAGTGGGTTTATCACTGTGTGTTCCCATTATATATGACCTTGTGATCCATAAATATGAACTAGTGCTGTTGTACTTTGGTTTTAACATCTGTCAGCTGTTATGCTTTCATAAATGTCCTGAGCTGGTTTAAGTTTTCTCTTTTAATCAGACAGTGAGTATTTTGTAGACAGGAGCTGTTTTTACCTTGGACATGCTTTGACTGTCGCTTCAGTCGTCCTCAGAAACGCCATCTGACGTCTGTGGTGACGTTTTGAAACACGTCAAGGTAAAAACAGCTCCTATCTAAAGACCACTCACTGTCTGATAAAGAGAAACCTTCTGCCTATAACCAGAGTAGACAGGATGAACCCAATCAGGCTAAGCTGTTTTAATTCTTACTGAGAAACAAAAACTATAAAGAGAAATTCTTTGAGTGAGCGAACAGTCCTGTGGGCAGAGTGAGGCATGTTTCACTGCAGACTTTACAGACCGACACCTCTCAAACTGTCAACTTAAAGGATCCTCTTGATCTTTGGTGGGTCCACACTGACCAGGTAAAGTCTGTTTACCTCCACAGTTCATCACACTCAGGTATCGGTGTGAGCCTGTAAGTCATCATCAGGCATACTAGTGTACAGTTTCCTCTGAAGGTTGATCCTTCTGAAGCCTTTTTGGATCTTTAGGATGCCGTTCTGTTCTCCCTGTTAACCCAGAAGTGACCACAGTAACTGGGCTGTGGATCCTGTAAATCTCTGTCTGTTTACCCCATTACCATACCTGAGGAAGTTCTTAGTTCATATTCTACATACCAAGCTGGACACTGATTTTATGACACTGAAGCTGGCCGTGAAGAGCAGATCTTCATGATTTAATGTGAGCTAACATGTCTAGAAAGCCTCAGATCCATCACATGCCTACCAGGGCCCCACAGCACGGCTGTTGGCCTGATCGTATGAAGTTGTCGGGCCTGCCGCATTCTGCAGTGCCACAGGGAGCGTTCACAAATGATCCAAGCAGGTAGGTTCAGCAAGACTTTGTAACTGGGAGCACCTCATGTAAGTGTGGG